GGGGAATTGACAGAGAATTGCCAAACTTTTGTTTTGTAAAACAATTACATTTAAACACAATATCTTGTTTTTCTGAATATCTAATTTCAGAAAAGAATTTTAAGACAAAAAATGTAGGAACATGTAATCTAAAGTTAAGAACACTTGGCTCAGCTCTCGTAGCACAGTGGTTACGGCGCCAACCACATACACTGAGGCTGGCGGGTTCAAACCTGGCCTGGGCCAGTTAAAACAATGACAACTGCAACAAAAAAAATAAAATAAATAAAAATAAAACTAAGAATACTTTTTAAAAATAGGTATATTTCTCTTATCTGTTTATTCATTTCATGAAGGATCAGTAAACTTTTATTAGACTCTGAGAATCATTGAATTATAGAATTCTCTGCTTCCTTTAAGCACTCATAAGCAGACTGGAGTTGGGTGATAAAATATACCCTTATAGGTGCTGTAGCCAAGAAGACCAAATAGGCCTGGGGCACTGATCACAAAATATGGAATTTGAGATAAGATTTGAATCAGACCAAGAAGCACACAAAATGTCAACCATTCTTGAAAACTCAGTGTACATGAGAACTGATAGAGTTTACAATGTTTCATTTAGTGCCTCTGTCTTCCCAGTCTCCTAAAACACAGGAACATAGTCACAGGCACACGCACGCGCGCGCGCACACACACACACACACACACACACACACACATAGACACATATATAATGTAATTAAATATTAAATTTATACTTTCTGACTGACTTTGAGCCTTCCCTAAATGATTTTATTCTGCTAAGCTCTTAGCCTGACAAACAGTGCACCTGCTTAACTGGGCTAAATGCCAAGAAAAGAAAAAAAAAATCAGGGAAATTAATTTCCAAGAGCAGTAGATAAATGGCACACCTCATTAGAAAATCTATTTAAAAGGCACATGAGGAGATGGCTGCAAGACTTTCATAAGAAATTGATGTTTCCCACCATCATATCCTTGCTGGCTCTCTTCTCAGATGACTGATTTTACTTACCCGTAATACGATTTAAATACAAAGTACATTGAACGAGTGCCTCCTCTGTCCCAGGCATGTATGTTTTACATAGATTATCTTACCTAATTCTTACAGAATTGGTTTGAAACAAGTGTGTTCTGTGGAATGCTTGCAAAATTTACCAGATGTGCTTTGAGACACGCTGGTGAAACGATGGAATGATTATTTTTCCTCTTATGGATGAAGACGCGAATAAACTATAACCCTTTTTATTGCACAAGAAAAGCTATGAGTTACTACAATTTATCCCTGTACATTCTGACCTAAGGGAAAATTCTCAACATCCACTACAGCTTTCATTTGTATTCATTTCTTTAAGATTCTATTTGTTTACACTTACTGTTGAGTGAGAAAATTGGCTCTTCATAGATAAGGCAAAAGACGTTTGTAAGGAATTTCAAGCAAAGCCCACAAATTCTGGTCCTGAAAAAGTTCTACATTATCAGGGCACCCCTTGATTTTCTGAAAGAGCTTTATGGTTGGGTCTTCAAAAGTTTGGGGATAAGACCTCCGGCAGCCTTTATGACCCTTTAGACTCAATTTGCTAAAAAAACAATGTTGCCCTGCCCTCCTAGGGGTTTTCCAAAGCCATCTTTCCAGCGAGAGCTAAAGACAACATGGACACCCGGATAACAGGGTGACCACACACTGTGGTTTGTGTGACTAGTGGTCAGGTAAATACGAATTGCTCTTCATCTCATGCTTACAAGTATCCAGGTATTGGATGATAAATTACATTAGTTGTCCTATATGGTGGCTTTGTACACTGTCCTATTCCCAGAATTCCAGGTAACAGGTGGACACAGGAGAAAGTTATGCTAGCTTTGAAAGGCAAAAGAGTAGTCACGGTGAAAGGATTGTTCTTGTTCTGAAGGTCGGGGGAGGGCAGTGCCCTTGAGGCTGGTGCACAGGACTGCAGATGTGCCGGCCGCCCCAACAGACGCCCATGTCTCCAGCTCCTGCTGGGTGGGCTGGCTCCTCCAGCTTTGAGGTGAAGGACACCAACTGATCCTGCAGCTCACCCACATCACCATAATTTGAAGTAGTAAGACACAAATCAGAGTTTGAGTTTCTCTCAGTTCTGTTTGTCCTTTGTCTCCCCTAATCTGTGCATCCACCCTTCCCAATTTCCACCCTGCTGACCTTCAACTCAGTGCCAGATGCTGAGGGAATAGCTTTACATACGAGGCTGAAGCCACATGATAAATCCCCTGCTCGTATCATGCAGAGTGACCTGGCTCCTCTGACCAAATCTGACAAGTACAGCAAGCCAAATGCACCAATATCCAATACTATTATTTAGATATTGTTTGGATGTTATGTTTAGTAAGAAATGAAAGGCAGATGAAATCTCTTTTCCAGTCTGTGTATCTGGTGCCCTAAAATTTGTCTTGTTTGATAAGATGAGTCAAAGTTGCAGATTTTGCAGCATAGAAAACAAGCTTCTATTCCTATTTCACAGACCAGGAGGTATGTTTCTAGCCATGTTCACTTCTAGGTTATGGAACTGCAGAGTGAACTGCTGAAATTATATGAAAGCAGCACATAAAAGGTAATTCTGCACATGCTCCACAGCAGATAATATACTGGGAAATCAGATCAAATTCTGGAAATAAGGAATTGTGAGGATTGCCCAGCAGAGAATCATTCTTCTCAATTCAGCATAGTACGTATGTATAAAAATAAATTTTTCATTTCTCTAGGAACAATTTTATAATGGCTTCAAAGCATTTGCCTACTTTTCTAAAGTGCTAAGACCCAGTGCCTTACTCTCCAGCCTTTAGAATCATTCTTAACTTTCTTCTATCCCTGACCTTGTTTGTTAAACATTAACAATTAATTATTTCCGAGGCTATTGTGTGTATAACAAAAGACGTATAGTGAAAATAATATTAATCTCTAGCAAAAGGTGAATTACATCAATTAAAATTAACATAAAAACCATAAGAGGTCATTTACACTTTGAAACTCTTGTTGAATCATTTATTTAACTTTAGAACCAAATATGATCATGAAATATAGTTCTTTAATTTTTAAAATAGGTATATTTTAGGAATTGCTTGTAAGTCTATTTATAGAGTCAATAATTTTCTAAGTATACTACAAAAATTATCACTGCAAAAAAATTGTTCTTTTTTTAATACAATGCACGGCTATCTATACTTAGATTTTCACATTAGATGACTTAAAATAGGGCTTCCATTGGACCAGTGTAACTATGTGCTCTGGACAACACCTACACTGGCGGTGTTTCTTCTCATAGGGAAATGCTGCAGTCAGTGTATAAGCAAAGGAAATAAAATGTCCTAGAGTAATGTAACCAAATGTTTTTCACTTAAAATTCTAGGTCATAATTTTATATCATAAACATTCCTACTGTATTTTTAGGACCCTACATTACACTATATACTAAAATTGTTGCTGATATATAGCAGACATTTATGGCTCTAGATCAATAGCCTTTTTGTTTTGGTTGACAGCCTGGGACGTCTTTCTATCTTTTAGGTGACGTCCACTTTAGTCCTCTACCAATGTGTTGTGACAGCTGGCAGTCATCCCAACCACACCTCCATGCCAGCACCCAAATAGAGTTCAATGATTTCACTATATTTATATGTTATTTCTTTTGACACCTTCTAATACATATAGTAAATCCCTGATAAGTAATTTCCTACACATATAGTAGATACCTGATATGTAATGGCTGAAGGATTAAAATTCCATAATGGGGAGTAGGGGATTCTGCATGTGCAGAATGTCATTTATATTATTTATAGTCACTGGGCCCTACTGATTCTGTTCTATTATTGGAGAAAGAAAATAGGGCATGGAAGAGTATAAGAATAAGAAAGAGGACATTAAAAGGTTAATGTGATATTTTTGCTTGGGGTAAAAAGTGATAAACATAAGTTAATTTATCTAGTCACTTAATCTTTATTCAACACCTGACTGATTCCTTTCCTCAAGGAACTCACCATTAATAAAGAATGTCAGATGTGGAAATAGACAAATATCGTTTTTAAAATATTACAAGCAGGCAGCACCTGTGGCTCAGTGAGTAGGGTGACAGCCCTATATACCAAGGGTGGAGGGTTTGAATCTGGCCCTGGCCAAACTGCAAAAAAAAAAAAATAGCCAGGCATGGTGAGCACTTGTAGTCTCAGCTACTTGGGAGGCTGAGACAAGAGAATTGCCTAAGTCTAAGAGCTAGAGGTTGCTGTGAGCTGTGATGCCACAGCACTCTACCAAGGGTGATAGAGTGATAGGGTGATAAAGTGAGACTCTGTCTCAAAAAAAAAAATCAATAAAAAATAAATAAAATATGACAAGCCTTTAGACAAAGGGATGAACAATGTACTAAAGACTGACTAGGCCATCATGAAAATCTGTATGTTCTAACTTGTTTTAGTCCTATTTTACTACAAAACCAGAAGGACATATTTCATTACAACTGAATCTGGGAAAATTCTTTTAACTGTCTTTATTTTTAGAAACTCAAAATAGGATGGTTTGGTGGAGAAACAAAGAGTATGTCTGAAAAAGAAGCTTGGGGCCAAATGGCAGATACCCTTAAAAATAATATATAATATCCTTCACTATCCAAAAGTCCTTTGGCTCAGTTTTATATTGCCAAATATAAAACCTATATATAATATCATTCTTTATTAATGCTTGGGAAAGTGCCAGTCCCCAAACTAAATCTCCACTCAAACTTTTTAATGAATGTTTTTAATGAAATTGCACATTAGCCTTTGTTTAGCTCCAGAATAAGAATATCAATGTCATTTGAAACCAATGAGTACAAGAAAGGAAGAAAATAGAAAAGTGGAAGAAGGAAACGGATTTCCATGATCCCCAGGGGATGTTTTATTTTTTACGCTAAGATGATGCAAAGAGGAACAAAACCAGAAGTGGGAAGGACATTGATTCTTTTAACCTAAAAGCCACATTTTGTGTATCTTACCTGAAAAGTTTTTGTAATCCACTAAGTCAAACATGACAACGGCAACAGCTGACCATGTGATTATCAGAGCGATGACCAGAAGCCAGGCTGCAGGGGAGCTGAATGTCGTCACTATGTCTTCTGTGACTGTCCTCTTCAGCACCCTTCCAGGGGATTTGGGCACAGATCCATTTTTGCTGTCTATCACAGTCGTGGTTGTAGATGCATTTCCTAATCAAAATGCCAAAAAGAAAATAAAACTTATAACTTCAACCTGGCATATTTCCTGGTCATAGTAATTAGTCAATAAAGGGCAATTCAACAACTACTGAAGTGCAACATTACCCGTATTTCATCATCACCTTCTTCATTACAACGATCACCACCCCCACCGTGATCCTGGTTATGACTCTGCCTATTTCTGTGTCTACTATTATCACTCTAAGGAAAGGCTTCGAAAACAAATGGTGAAGGACTAACTCTTCAATGAATGCAGGCATTTGTTTCCATTTAAAAAGTATGGACATTAGCCTAAAATATTTCCATGTAACCAAAAAAAAAAAAAATTCTATGATTCCCTCAGTATCCTTTTCATCCTTGATTATTTTTCATCATATAATTCATTTCTTGACACTAAAAAAGAACAAATACTACAATTTATTAATACAAATAGAACCTGTTTTGCCCCATTAGCAAAATTGAGAGAGTTGATCTAGAGCAAATAAAGTGATTTCATTATAGCACGGACATTGTCAGTATACTTGAAGTCTTTAAATTTAAAAAATGAAGTTTGGACCCTTCCAACAGATACGTACACAGGACACTTAAAGTATAAATTCCTTACAGAACACAATTTTGAAGTATAGGGGAAGAATATAAAAAAAAACACATGCAAAAGTAAGTAGTCTAGTTAATAAAGTCTTACTTGTTTGGTTTCTTTGGCCTTAAAAAGTACTATTCTCTTTATAAGAGACGATCAGTAACATAAAATTCTATGTTAGGAATTCTATGGAAATTCCATAAAATATTTCCTAGGAAAAAGAAAACCAAATGCATTCAAGAGTACATATTAGTTCTCTTTCCTATTTTGCAAGATGGCAGGTGAAAATATTGGGAAGCCGGTTACTGTAGAGAAGAAACCAAAGGCCAAAAAGGGCAAGAAGGGGAAGACCCCTGCCGCCGAAATTCTGCTCTCTCCAGAGAGAATAGGCAGATATTTGCCATCTGCTATGTATTCCAGAAGGTGAAGTATGAGAGGGAATGTACAGTGGCTAAATCCAAGATTGAAAAGAAAGAGAAGGTGAAGGTCCGTGACACTGTTACAAACCCATTGACAGGGACAAGAATGGTAGGACTCGGATGGTTTAACTTTGACAAATGCCTGGATGTTATTCCACTCAAGGTGTGCCAAAGCTGTTGAGCTGTAGCAAAAGAACCATCAGTCAGGGTGTGAAAAAAAGTGTGATCAAGCATCACTCCCGGGAACATTCTAATCATCCCCCAGGTCACCACAAAAGCCAGAGGACGGTCTTCCTAAAGCAACTGGGAGTGGCTAGCTACTTGTCACTGGACTGCTGATCTTCAATCGAGCTCCTCTGCAAGGGACACACCAGAATATCACTGCCATCTTCACAAAAATTGACAACAGTCATGTTTACATCCCAAGCATCTAACTGATGCTTATTTCAAGAAGCAGCAGCTGTAGAAGCCCAGACAGCAGGAAGGTGAGTTCTTCACCTCAGCAAAAGAGAAATACAAGACAACGGAACAGCATGAGGTTGATCAAAAAGTTATGGACTCGTGAATTTTACCCAAAATCAAAGCTGTTCCTCAGCACCACGGCTCCCTATGATCTGACAAATGGAGTTTAACCTCATAATCTGGTGTTTTAAATTTCTGAAAAGAGTCTAATTAAATGGCTGGTGTATTTTTTTAATTTTTTTTTTTTTTTACTAAATCATAAACACATAGATCATGTATACATTCATGGATTTATAGGGTACAAAGTGCTGATTTCATATAGAATCAGGAACTCTTACATCACACTGGTTAATATATACCTCATCTCATTTACTTAGTTATTGTGTGAAGACACTTATACTTTATACTAATAGATCCGACATGTATCCTTGCATTATGCACCACAGGTGTGATCCCACAATTCACTCACCCTCCCTCAATCTGACCTGGCTGGTAGATTTGAAAAATAAAAGAGTACACATAGTAATTAGTAATAAACGAACACAACCAGTACAAATAGGCCTATGTTTTTAAAAGATTTAAAAGCTGATGAGGAGCATTATTGGCAGATAATTTAAGATTTTATAAGTGAAAATTAACCATAGTGACTACAAATCTCCTTTCTTTTCTGAAAAACCCTATGGGAATACAGATCCCAAGTTCATGAACTCAATTTAGTGGAAATGATAGCAAGATGGACCAATATTCTATAATAAGGTTTCCCAGACTGGACTTGAGGTGGTGCTCAAAGGAGGACAAATTAGAAAGAACTTCCATCGTATCCTCCCGTTGATTTTGAGCCATCACTGCTAATGGGAGTTCTTAAAATGGATGAAGAATAAGAGTGCTTTGAAATGCCATTTAAGACCCAAGTGAGGCTACAAGTGAATCAAACCTTTGGAATAATGATTTCCAGGAGAGTAAACGAATTATGACAGTTTAGGAGTGGCCCACTTGAAACGTGATACATTTTTTATCAACTAACCTCTAGTCATTTAACCTGTGAAAGGTTTCCTACTACTACTAGGCAGAGAACATCTGAAGAATTGCTTTTGCACTTCAGATTCGCTTCAGCGAATTGCATCTTGCAGAGCATTTTCTGTGTATAGTACTACCTAGACTGGCTTGGTACCTTGAAACTCTGAGTAATTTTACAAGATTTCATACAAATTAGTTAAATCTTGGTCACATTTTTAATAGGAAGAAAATTCAAGAACGAACACACATTTTTTATATTTATTTTTTCCTTTGATCGTAGAAACATGAGAGGCTATATCAATTCCTACGCTACTGTCGCAAGATTTCATTTAAAATATAACATTTTTACGTTTTTTAAACAACTGACATGAATTTCCTGTTCATTTGTTTTATGATTCTGTCAATATAATTATGGTACCATTTTTAAATAGATGAAAACAGTAAAGTTAATATTGTTGTGTTTTTCATCTTTTTTAAATTTTAATCCTCACGTTCTTAATATTTCCATTTAGGAATTAAGAAAGACTCAAAAGTGATGAAAATATATTTTGAGTCGCCAACCACAAAGCCATAAGCGATTTGAAAGTAATCTGAAGGTCATTTTGCTTAAAGAAAATTATGCATTGCCCTTGCTATGAAACACACTAAGTTGTACCTTTCATTTTCCATTCAAATTTACTGCAGAAGGCACACAGAGCCAAGAGGAATAAAACTGAGAGGAAATAAATTGCCTTCTCTGACAGCTGGTCAAGATAAATGCAAAGAACAAAGTGTGTAATCTGAGATTATTTAATGTTTGAGAAGCACTTTAAAGATGACAAGAGCTAGTTATTGATATGGCGGGAAAAATGAGAGGTAAATATTACCGAGCAATTTGACATGGGCTATGCTTTTAGAAAGCTGGCATCTCAGAAAGGGGGCACAGCAGCTAGGAGATGCGACAGGACTCTCCATGCCTCCTTTTTAATTCCATTCCTTTTGATTTCATACAAATTATTTTGACTGTCAGAAATACAAAATCTGGCTCAGAAGAAGGAAGGAATCTGACGGAATGGCTGTGCAACTCTTCTCTGTAAAGTGAGAGGAAGGCTGTGATGTCACAGCTCTGAAGACTGGCTTCACTGGCAGGTCATGCATAGAGAATAAATCATAAGCTGCCTGATAGAAGTCATTAACCTCATCGGGCCTTATTGATCAGATGAGGAGACTGCCAAGTGCCCTTACTCGTTGTTATTCCCACGGGAGTTTGGTGATATGATCCCTCCCAGGATGCTGGGGGAGGACACCCATGTTCTGGAATGGTGTGAATAAAATATTGTGCTGTCATTACATGAAAGCATTCATTATGAACTTCGCATGTCACCATGTGATGTGGCTTGGGTTGCACACTCTGACACTGTATTTCTCCTTCAAAAATCAGAAAGCAAGAGAGACAGAAAGTGGAATGTCTCCAGTTGACCACCTCTTTAAGTTGACCTAATTTTCACAAACCAGACATTCACCACGTGTATGCATCAGAGCGGCAGGCTTAGTTCCCTGCGTTTACCACCTCCTCATGTTGCCCAGCTTGTTATAGTCCCTTGTGTGGTCAACTTACAGAGGTTCCACTGTATATACCAATGATACATGTTATTCCCAAATTGCTTTAAGACCATAATTCCCACTTATCTGTAAGAATGACCCTTGTTATAATTTTTTGGTGTTACAAAAAACTTACCTGTATATAAGAACTTTGTAGAAATTCAATTACAAAGACATTTTGGCAAATAAAGTTGAAAAGTGAGAAATCCAGCTTTTAATTTACACCTTTTTACCAATTCTAGTGTTTGCAAAATGTCTGTGTAAAGATTAAGTTGTTTTTCTACCAGTCTATACAAATGGAATGAAAATAGATTTGGAGAGGCAAGATGAACAGTGACAATTCACAGAAGTGATCTTGATCAAAACCATCATATATATTAATTGATATACTATTAACAAACCAATAGAAACAATGACATTTTTAGAAGAATAAAAACATTAGGCACTTAAACAAATGGCAAAGAACTATTCACTTTCTTTCAACAATGAAAATGGCTTTTGTCTTAAACACAAAACTGCTTGCCTGCCAATTTTAATGCAAGCTTTAAATTTCCGTCCTTTCTCTCAGATTTTTAGGATATAATCATTAAAATGCAATTTCAGAGGTATTTTGGCCACCTGCTCTACCTGTAGAGGTAGACATATATATGCCTCTTTAAAAAAAATTAATGTTATCCATCTTTCCTTCCAACCCACCCACTCCTACTACTCTTCCACTACGTGAACTTCTTTTCCCAGTGATGGGACTAGAAATTAAACCATGCCTGTACCCCAATTTTAGGAATAGACCTGTAAGCCAAGCCTGGCCATTCAGAGTATTCCTTCTTGCCTGTGACTGTTAATGGATGGTGCAATCAGAGCCCTCCACATTTTTGTGTTAAACAATTTGAGGGCATTCTCTTTCTCCGGGGTTGCCAAGCTAGTAAGGTGTGAGTGCAGTGTGCAGGGGCCTTCTAGTCTACCACCTGGAGGGTCAGCTAGCTATAAGATGGCAAGAGCCAGGGTCCAAGTACCACGTGTGGGCGCATGAAGCCAGCTGCACTTAGAGTCAGTAGCATCTCTGGGCTTTCCAGATAAATGAAGATCTATACTATGTAATTTGACCATGTTTGTATAACTCGACATCCCGAGTTCTGGTGGATACTCTTGTCTCTGCTAGAGATGTAAATAATTATTTTTCTTCACCTATTTGTATCAGGAGGTATGTGATCAGTCAGAACAATCTGAGTACCCGGCATCTTTTTAAAAATTATTTTTATTTTTGAAATAATATCTCAGATGTCACTCTCACTTCTTGAGTGGCTGAGTTGTTAACATCCTAAGTAAAGAGAAGTCTTTTGTGGTTTGTGAGGTTAATTCTGTTGTTGAAATGTCCTCTCTAGGAAAATCTCACTTGTGTTTTGAGTGAGTGAGAGGCGGGACCTTCCTGCTCTGGCAGCGGTCCCTCGATGCCAGTCTAAATATTTAGGTCTCCTTAAAATAATTTGAAATTCTCACTTCCAGGGTCATGTATGGACAGTATTTGGAGGTGGGGCTTTGGGGAGATGTTGCGTTTAGGAGGCAGAGCCCTCAGGGATGGCATCAGTGCACTTAAAAAGAGGCCCGAGAAAGACTCCTCACTCCTTCCACCAGAAAGTGTGAGAACAACCATCTGTGAGGAAGGCGTCTCTCACCAGACACAGACTCGACTCTGACCCTGGACTTCCCAGCCTCCAGACTGTGAGAAATGAATTGCTCTTGTTTCTAAGCCACCAGGTTTAGGATAATTGGTTATAGCAGTGAATGAACAGGCACCCATTACGACTTGCTAGCCCATGTTCCAATAGTCCCTACGGCAAAGTAAGACCTGTCCTTTCTTGTTGTAACTCTCATAAGCCCAGTATTCCCCTACCTTTTGAAAATTTTATTTTCAGTTTATCAGCAATTCCTCATTATTCAGAATACTAGTTTTTCTACAAATATTAAACTAAATTTAAATGTAAGAAGTAATGATGAGCACATAACGGAAATTTCTTGAAGCAAAATGTATTGACTTCTTAAGACATTAGAAGTGAAATCCACTGTATGTTATCATCTAAAGTGGCCAAAGATTTTTTTGTCATTGTTTAGCTATAGAACGCTTCACAGATTTGCATGTCATCCTTGCCCAGAGGCCATGCTAATTTTCCCCGTATCGTTCCAATTTTAATATATGTGCTGCCAAAGTGAGCACGTGGCCAAAGATGTTTGATGAATGTCTGGTTTCCAATGTTTTAAAAAGTCACTAAAATTCTATTGTTAAAACCTAACTCCCATTCCAACTTTCCCCTCCAATGTCAACTCACTAACAAAATTTCTATTATCCTTTGACATAAACTCTACTGTTCTTCCTAAATACTATAGCATTTTTTGATAAATTTAATGACATGGATAAAATAAATCTGACCTTTTTATATTCTTCAACAAAGAACTAGGTTGGGAGAAATTGATTTCTCTTTTCATAGCACTAAACATAGAACTTTTTATGAAAGAAGGTTCCCATCAGTGCTTATTTAGTATGAAAAACTTTGTAAGTGCCGCTAAGGAGAAGGAGCTTTAAAAAGCGCCATGCCAAATTACCCCAACATTTCTGCACATATAAGGGTAGGCAGCATAATGAATTCTAATGAGAGAAATAAATGAAGTAACAAAAAATATTTATGATAGGAGAAAATGTAGAGATGAGAGATATGTTACTGAAGGAAGGGTTCAGGTGCATCTCATAAGAACCGACAGAAGTTAGGCTGGTTAAAATATCCATGCTATGACAGAGGGGTCAAGTGTAGTAGGGGTAGGAATAAAAATATGTGTACTGTCTTTGACTAAAAAACAAGCATACACTTACAAAATCGTGTCAATCAGAAAGCAGAGACACTCCTCTCTAATGAAGCGATTAGAGCTGGTGTCCCAGATATTACCAAGATTTTTAAATCTGCAGTGGTGCAACAGCCGGGAGAGGTTTCAAAACCAGATTGGAGAGAGTTAATGTGTAGATGGACATAAACACTGATGGTCAGTTTACAAGTGTGTGATGATTCGTTGTCTTAGGCTTTGGACTTTTATGACATTTATTTCTCAAAATTCTGGAAGCTCCACTCTGAGGTCAGAGGGTCAGCCTACTTGGCCTCTGGTGAGGGCTTTTTTCCCTGGCTGGCAGATGGCTGCCATCTCACTGTTTTCAAACCGCAGAGAGTGAGCAAGATCTCTGGCGTCTCTTACTACAGGCACAGTGATTTATCAGAAGGGCATCACCCTTGGGACTTCGTCTAGACCTAATTGCCTCCGAACGGGGGCTTCATCTCCAAATCTCATCACACTGAGTGTTAGGACTTCACCAAAGACACACCTACAATGCCCGAAAAATTGTACATGCATTGTAAGAAAGAAAACACTATATTAAGAGCATAATACTCAAGTAGTGTTTGACTTCGCAATTATAAAAGATGCAAGATACAATATGTACGATAACAAACATTATCAGTATATATTGGGTATTACAATTTTTTTTTTTTTTTGCACTTTTTGGCAGGGGCTGGGTTTGAACCCACCATCTCCAGCATATGGGGCCAGTGCCCTACTCCTTTGAACCACAGGCGCTGCCCTGAGTATTACAATTGTAATACATTTTTTTTTCCTTTCTTAAAATGTGTATAGATTTTTTGGACACCTTCTGTATATTAATATATTTTTTGGCAAGGGAAGTGAATACAATTCAGACCATAGTATGCACCTATCTCTTTGATTTTTTTAAACATGCTCTAAAGACTATTAATATATTTTAAGCTTAAGAAGTATAGCTATTTTAATAGAGTTTTCATGTTAAAATAATGGAAATCATGGCCCGGGTTCTTTACTACCACTACATGCCCAAGTATCTTAAATCAAAATGTCATGAGTGCTATATATAGTGGACCATTATTAGGGTAAAAATTAATCAACAGGACCCATGAGATGACTCATTTTGGACAATGAATTTGACAGGCTCTATCAGGTTCGTTCTAGGAAAATAATTCATCCTCACCTCGTGAACCTAAGGAGACTCATGTAAGAGATAACAGAATTTCAGAGTTTCTCTGACTTTCTGAGTTAGAAGTTTGGGTATGAAATCTGCAGAAAATCTCCCAGATTCTATGAATCTGGTTTCATAAAAATAGTAATACAGCTCTGGTTCCTAGCCAATATTATTTGAATGAGATAAATGTAAGATCCATGAACTTTATTCAATTCTTTCAAGAAATTAATTTTCTAGCATTTTATGTTTGGATTGACATATTTTTCCTGGGCCAAATTTGCACAAATGAAACATTGTACCTAGCCCAGCAGGTATGACAATTTCCTCCTACGAAATTGTCCCGTTGTCATTGAATTGCAAACGTGCCGAAACAGACAAACCTTGAGTAATGACATGCTATTTCATTCTAGAGGGAAAAACAGGAAACTGAATGCTTTGGAACCATTAGCTTTCCCTGATTTGTTGACGCTAATGTGCAAGTTTTGCTTTTTCTTTCCTAAAGACATGTACACCATGGAATACTATGCAGCCATTAAGAAAGATGGAGACTTTACGTCCTTCACGTTCACATGGATGGAGCTGGAAAATGTTCTTCTTAGCAAAGTATCACAGGAATGGAAGAAAAAGTATCCAATGTACACACACCTATTATGAAACT